ATCTCTGCAAGGTAAAGGGTAGATAAAGCTGATAACTTAGAGAAATAGATACAGATGGGTGTTATGGTATAATGTTATTCAGTCTTACCCAGGGAACTTGCCATATGGAAGCCCAGTTGCAACTGGGCTGTACTAGCTAAATGACACAAGTTCATCCCCTTGTAGAGAACACCTTGGAAAACAGAATGCTTCGGGCCAGGCTAGGTTGAGATGAGGAGGGGCACCACAGCACATTAGGACTTGACCCAAGGTTTGGCTCCTGTGAACGAGCTTCATGCAGGCTAGGTAGCCACTGACTGTGTTTCCTCTTTGCCGTTTGTGCAAGGGTGCATTGAAAAATGGATCTTGAGCACATGGGAGCTTTTGTGGGAGAGGAAGCATGCCATGCAGCTGTAAGCTCCTACGATCCAAGCTGTAATGTTCCTCAGTCCCAAAATGCACATGCAAGTCTGGCGCATGGGCAAAAAAACGGTTTTGACCTTGCCGTGTCCATTCTCCATCTTGGTTTCCATACTGGGTGTCCGGTCTGACTTTCTGCTTCTGATAGGAAGTGGTCTCCTCCCCTCCTCCACTTTTGCATAGCCTTGTGGTGCTCTGGTGCCACCTTTCTGCTTTTCTTAAGGTTGCTAACTCAAGACATTCTTGGAGATTTCGGGGTGGAGCTCGGGGAGGGCGGCGTTTAGGGAGGGGTGGAAGCTCAGCAGGAGTATGATGCTGTGGAGTCCACCCTCCAAAGCAGCCATTTTCTCCAGGGAGACTGATCTCTGTAGTCTGGAGATGGGTTTCATTCTGGGAAAACAGGCCTATTCTACTGAGGTTGGCAAACGAAGCTTTCCCCCGGTGTCTCCCTCCCAGCAGCTGTTGGTGCATCCTGAAACCTGTTATGTTCCTAGCATCACGTAACTTGATTTTTAAGTCTGCAACAGAATGTAAGAGGAGCCCTGTTGGATCAGACCAGTGGTCCATCCAGTCCAGCATCCTGTCAGTCATTCAAGACTTTACACTGAGCCTCAGTGAGAAGGGTGTATAGTAAGTTACTACAGTGCAAAGCAATGCAGTCAAAGAGCAAGTGCTGTCTACTGTGCAATGCAACAAGGCCAGGATTCTGTTTAATGACATGGTGCTTAACCCCTGTTCTTGTTTCCCCTTCAGATATTCTACAAAATGCATACTCTTTGACGAGAGGTAGGTTTCTGGGACGGACGGAAAACCACTGAAGGGAGGGATCTGAAGGGAGGTTGCACCTTTCAGGCAGCTGTTGCCTGGTGCTTCACCGTAAGCCAGCGGTGCTGTTTTGGGGTCAAAGAGGGAGAGGTGAATGAATGGCAGGGCAAGGAGAAGGTTGTTCCACTCTTGTCTCTGTTCACTCCTGGTTAACCAACAATCCTGGTCTTAAAGCTGTCAAAGACCAGTCCTAGAAAGAGAGGAAGAACCATGCCTTTCAGGAAACTGGAGCCAGAATAAGTTGACAGGGCTGCTTTGCTTGTGTGTGTGCTGTGCTGCCCCCAGCCAGCGTTTGAGACTGTAGCTAAGTAGCACTGCCATATATCTTTAAGAGCAGTTTGCCCCTGGGAATTGTAGTCTTTAGTTAGGCATCCCAATGCATTCCTGACTGGCTGGGGGGCAGGGAGATTTTCCTGCACACTTGGGGCAGTCCCCAGGTGTGCACAAAAATCTAAAAAGTTGGAAAAAATATCGGGGGGGATATTTAACCCTGGCTCGTGCGTTGAATCACGTCCTGAAGGCGTTTGTTGACACAACGTCAGACAGAACAGTGAAAAGGGTGAGATGTTCCCCCCCCCCAGAGGAAAAGGGGGCCGGATTTCCCTCCAGCTCTTAAAAAGAAAAGCTGCTCTCTCCTATAAACGCTGCCGGCCTCAGCTTTGCATCTAAACGCATGTGTCTGGAGCACTCCCTCTGTAAGACAGCTGTCAAAGACCAATCCTAGAAAGAGAGGAAGAACCGTGCCTTTCAGGAAACTGGAGCCAGAATAAGTTGACAGGGCTGCTTTGCTTGTGGGTGTGGGTGGGTGGGCTTCTACATGTCATCTTCCTCTTATAACACATGGTTATGTTGGAAGCAGGGCCAGTTCCAGGGTTTTTTTTTGGGGGGGGGGGGTTCTGCAGCCAGAAGGTACCTGTGTTGCCTCCAAACTCAGGAAATTGTATTGCTGAGCAGACACATCCCTAACTGGGGTGGCCCACAGGACTACTGAATACTGATGGATGCCCTGAATGTGGCTGAATAGCCAGTAATACATGCAGGTGGTGTGAAGAGTTGGGACTTGGCTTTCTTTCCCAGCAGTCACCAAATAGTGGATTGGGTTGGACTGGCTTTCGCTATGCACCTCAGTTGTTCTAATGGAAGCTCTAGCTTCAGACATAACTCCCAGCTGAAAGCTGTGGAGAGAAGATGAGCACCCCCAAGCATTTTTAGATTGATATCTATATACTAATAGCGAAAGGCGGCCCCTGCGTGTGGATATCTAAATCCGCACATCAGGGGCACCTAGGGGGCAGGGAGATTTTCCTGCACACTTGGGGCAATGCCCAGGTGTGCAGAAAAATCTGAAAACTGTAAAAAAATATAGGGGGGATATTTAAATCCCCCAAAAAGTAACAGAGCGCCCCCTGTGCATGTGCAGGGAATGTTCTTAGAACGGCTTTGCCACCACTAGAGAAGAGGAGGGGGTGGGGGGAGAAGGCTTGGACGGCCAGCAGCTGTAAGCCGCACATCCCTTGCCGCTGCCCGGGGGGGG